AACGGAACGGAAAGGAATGGAATGGAACGGAATGGAATGGAACGGAACGGAACGGAATGGAATTGAATGGAATGGAATCAACCCAAGTGGAAAGGAACGGAACGGAATGGAATGGAATGGAATGGAATGGAATGGAATGGAATGGAATGGAATGGAATGGAATGGAATGGAACGGAATGGAATGGAATGGAACGGAACGGAACGGAACGGAACGGAACGGAACGGAACGGAACGGAACGGAACGGAACGGAACGGAACGGAACGGAACGGAACGGAACGGAACGGAACGGAACGGAACGGAACGGAACGGAACGGAACGGAACGGAACGGAACGGAACGGAACGGAACGGAACGGAACGGAACGGAACGGAACGGAACGGAACGGAACGGAACGGAACGGAACGGAACGGAACGGAACGGAACGGAACGGAACGGAACGGAACGGAACGGAACGGAACGGAACGGAACGGAACGGAACGGAACGGAACGGAACGGAACGGAACGGAACGGAACGGAACGGAACGGAACGGAACGGAACGGAACGGAACGGAACGGAACGGAACGGAACGGAACGGAACGGAACTGAACGGAACGGAACGGAACGGAACTCAGATACTAGACACTCGGACACTAGACACTCAGACACTAGACACTCGGACACTAGACACTTAGATACTAGACACTCAGACACTCAGACACACAGACACTAGACACTCGGACACTAGACACTCTGACACTTGACACTCGGACACTAGACACTCGGACACTAGACACTTGGTCACTGGATACTCAGACACTAGACACTCGCTCACTAGACACTCAAACACACAGACGCTAGGTACTCAGACACTAGACACTAGGACACTAGACACTCGGACACTAGACATTTAGACTCTAGACACTCAGACACTGTCTCTAGACACTTAGATACTAAACACTCAGACACACAGACACTCAGACACACAGACACTCAGACACTAGACACTCTGACACTAAACAGTCGGACACTAGGCTCTCTGACACTAGACACTCAATCACTAGACACTCAGACACTAGACACTCGGACACTGGACACTCGGACACTAGACATTCAGGCACACAGTCTCTAGACACTTAGATACTAGACACTCAGACACTCAGACACTCAGACACTAGATACTCTGACACTAAACAGTCGGACACTAGACACTCTGACACTAGACACTCGATCACTAGACACTCAGACGCTAGACTCTCGGACACTAGACACTCGGATATTAGACACTCAGACACATAGTCTCTAGACACTTAGATACTAGACACTCAGACACTCAGACACACAGACACTAGACACTCGGTCACTAGACACTCAGACACTAGACACTCGCTCACTAGACACTCGGACACTAGACACTCAGGCACATAGTCTCTAGACACTTAGATACTAGACACTCAGACACTCAGACACACAGACACTAGACACTATTAATATTGCATTGTCATCTGATTTGTACTTGTTAGAGGTTAGTTAAAACAAGCTAGATCACAATTAAATTCGAAAAACAGAAACCACTTATTAATCACAATAACATGCCAACACAATGTAGGTAGATCTCTAGCCGCAGAGTTGCCATTACAATAATTAATTGTTACTCAAATGTTGAATGTTTTTTCTTCAAACCTGTAGAACTTTCTTCATTGTACTCGAGCACAAATTTGTATCAATTTCTCTACATTTTGCCATGTAACCACAAAGAGAACGACAAAAAAAAAATACTATACTAATTATATAATGCTGTTTGATTTACAAATACCTCAAATGTAAAATATATAAATAAAATATAAAAAAAGTAAAAACTCAGCAAACTTCTCCAAACCTTTTTGACTTATTTTCAAACATTTTCCCAAGATTTTTTTTGTTTCGCAAACATTTATTTTTATCCATAATTGCGACAAAAGTGCCCAATCTGGCAACGCTGATCAGAGGGAGACTTTGTACGAAAGTCGATTGCGTGGGTACCTCTGTCCCATTCGTGTTTCAACCGTGAAGCAGTTGTGTTTGCATGGCTGTGTTTCGGTTTGAAGGGTGGGATATGGCGTGAATTTACTGGGTACAGAGGAATAACACCTGAGTCCTCAGGAATGGCAACGCATGGGGGGTATCATGGGCGAAACAGTATACTCTGTTATGTCCATGGTACTGCTCATGTCTATAGGCGACGGTTACCACTTTCCATCAGGTGGGCCGTCAGCTTGTTTGCCATTCTAAGTTGTATAAAAAAAAAAAAAAAAAAAAAAAAAAAAAAAAAAAAAAAAAAAAAAAAAAAATGAAATTTTGGGTGAACGGGTAAAACAGATTTAGTAGTGCACTAAATAGAAACAGCGCCTGTCTCATGTGTGAAATGATGTGTACAAACGACCATGTTAACTAAACAATGCTAATTAAATCGAAGCACAATAGTTTCCTGGTAGAAATAAAACAATTTTTGAATTTTAATATAACTAATTAGTTTTGGTTTAAGAATTTATTTTATTCATTTTTACGTTTTCAGGAGATTTTTAAAATAAAAGTATAAATATTTAATAAATGATTTTGTTTGTTTTCTAAGACTTACGGAAGCATTAATAGTAAATCGCGACTAGTATCGCCATGTATTAAAATTTTTTTCGTGCGGCCATTTTTTTTTCGTCATCGTGTCCCCCTGCTAGTAGTTAAGGGCATGTTATTTATATATATAATAAATAAAAGTGGTCCTAAAACGCTTCCTTGTGGTACTCCTTTAATTACCGTTCTGAATTTGATATGTTTCTTCAGTTTTTGTACTAATATGTATTTTCTTTATGTAAGTCATTTGTGATCTACCTGATAAGTATGACTATTTTAGGCTTAAAGCAATTCCTCTTATTCCATAATTATATAGTTTTGAAAGTAATATATTATGGTCAACATTATCAAAAGCCTTAGTCATATCTAAATATATTGCAACACTTGACAATCTACGATCCATACCCGATATTACTCTATTATGAAATTCGTAAAGAGCTATATTAATGGATTTATTCTTTCTGAAAGCATGTTGTTCAGTAGCAAATAATAAAGAATTTATATAATACATTATAAATTATTTATTCTAATATTTTTTAAAATATAGGTACGAGGGCTATTGGTCTATAGTTATGCATAATCGTTCTATCATCCTTCTTAAATAATGGCCTTATTATAGTAATTTTCAACTTGTCAGGAAATATGCCAAACTCCAAATACATATTAAAAATATGGCACAGTACCGGAGATATGATGTGAGACACATCTTTAATTACACTAGTAACTATGTCATCATATCCAGCACTGTTAGTATTTTTTAATGCTTTTATAATATATACCCTGTGGAATTATTAGAGTCATAAATAACGAATTAGGATTATTGTATTTTATGTTAAAGGGGATATCACATTTTATATTTGTAGATTTTGTATCGCCGATAAAAAAGTTGTTCAATACATTTGCCATATCCATAGGATTAGACAACATCTTACCATTAATATACAAATTTGTTATATACTCTTTTGGATAGTTTGTTTTAGTTTTATTTATGATTTTACACATGGCTTTAGATTTATTGACAGAGGATTGTATATAATAATTATTCTGAGATTTTTGAGTGAAATTTATAATACGTTTTAATCTTTTAGCATAAGTAGTAAAGGCCTGTTTATTATTGTTTGTAGGACGTTTCCTGTAAGCCCATAGAAGTTGCCTTTTACGTTTACTACAGGTTTTAATACTTCGTGTTATCCATTTAGGTCTATGCATTACGTTACATTTAATTTTTATGATCGGAAAACATAGATCATATATCACTTTAAAAGTTTCATAAAAATTTGTGGGCCGTATTGTGTTATAGATAGATAAATAATGTATGTAATGTTATTTGTCTCTTTATATAGGTATAGTCATACAGTAATAATAATAGTAGTATTTTTTGTGGGAATCGAACCCACAACTTTGCGTGTCGCTTTCTGTGACCACTACATCAATGAAGCAGTCGAACATCAGTACTGTTTTTTATATTGTAATAAATTGGTTTAATATATAAGACAGACATACTTGCAATTTAAATTTTACAGTAAAAAAAAAAAAAAAAAAAAAAAAAAAAAAAAAAAAAAAAAAAAATTTATTATGACAAAACAATAATAGTTGAACATATAATATCGCGAAGGGTTTTGTAGTTATTGATATTTTTTCTATCATCAATAGTGGCGTGCTTTCTCCTTTACTTTTTTCAATTTTTATAAACAATATTTCTCGTATCATTAATTCTCCTTACCATCTGTATGCGGATGATCTACAACTTTACAGACACTTCTCACTGCCTGGATTGTCTGATGCCATTACTGCCTTAAATACTGATTAATCTGCAATACAATAATGGGCTAACACATTTAGACTTCGTAAATCCCATAAAATCACAGGCCATCATTATTGGCAGCAGCAGGATACGATGCAAATTGAATTGGTCCGAGATACCGGCACTTTATTATGATGGAGTTCCAGTGACTTATGCCGAGAAAGTTAAGAACCTTGGTCTCATAATGGACGGCACTTTGTCTTGGGAAAATTCAGGACACGAATAGGGCTACAAACTATCTAAATATTACAAATTTCGCGAAAACTTTATTATGTTTATTCATGTCAAACGTTTCGTGTGAAAGAACATTCTCTCAGGTGAATCTAAACAAAACATAAATAAGGAATAAGTTAGAAACCAAATGTTTTCGCTGTAAATACCACAAAACATGGAAAAAGGAACACGGAGACTGTTTCCAACTAAACATGGAAATTTGGAGGCAGATATTGATAGGTAGGGTAAATATTTTTGTTGATTAAAGAAATTTCATTGTAATCTTTTTTTTGTTTTTTTTTTTACATTTCCTTGTAGGCATATTTTTGGTATTTTTCACAGAAAGTGTGACAGACTTTTGCCTAGTCTGTGGCAGATTTGCTATTAATGAGATGGCCACACTGTTATTAATTGCTCTGTAGTGCCGCGTTCAAGATTTATTATTCAAGGAAGCTTATTTTACGCCTATTTTTAATTTCATTACTATAATACTGTAGATAAAATTTAAGAATTTTTTTATGTTATCAATATTATTAATTGTTATTGTTTATAATGGTAATTTATACTATATTCGCTTTTTTGTAAATTTTATTTGTCTGCGACTGAAGGACTTGTATCGATGGTCATGAATAAATTTGAAAAAAAAAATTGCGCTGTAGTAGATAGACTCTAAGTCTACATTTCTCTAATTTATATGTATATATGTATCAATCCTCTAATCTTCAATACCGGATACCTAAATATCTATTTAATTATTATAATTCTAAATATTTACTTCACTATCTTTCAGTTTCTGATGTCTATTTTCAATTACATGTATTAAAATACAAACTAGGTACCATAATAAATCACAAACTCAATCGTGATGGGCAAACAAATGATGTGAATTATGACTAAATTGAAGAATTAATGATAGTCTTGTCAAAATTCTAAAGAGATGGCAAATTCAGTCAACATTTCTATCGAGGCTCCTATTGAAAACCAAATCCAGGAAATAACCTATGATGGCCAAGAAATTTACCAAGCGTGAGTATTTTCATCTATTGGTAATTATATTGGCATTGCCATGTACTTTGTAGACAAGGTATTTTTTAAACGGAAATTATCATTATTGAGCTGTGTAAAGTGATCAGTACGTCCGCTGATCACAATCTTCTCGCTGCAATGGTAATTGTAATATTGATATTTATTATCATGTGTCCTTACTGTTATTGTGTAATCTTATTAATCCTAGAAGTACAGCCCCATTCTGCTATCTGTAAACTACAATCCGGGCTAAGTATTTACCTCTATATAATCTGGTTCATAACTACATCAATGTGGGGGGAAAGGGATTGTTAGTAATGAAGATTCAGAATCCCATTGCTAGCAATATACCCAACCAGGTCGACCTCCTCACGGTTCCCCCTGAAAACTATCATGATTAATTCCTGATAAATTCATTATGATGGGCTAACTGGCCTGTTTTCATCCTCATCGATCACCCTTCACTGGTGCCCCGCCAGCATATCCCGTTAGTGCAGGTAGGGTTACTATTCCATTTTCTACCAATAAAAAAAAACTACATTAATGTTTTTGTTTTTTCATGCCAAAGAAATGGTAAAGAGCAAAATTTATTTTACTAGATTTAAGTTTATAAAAAAAACAGCTTCAATTGGTAACAGTTTAAAAAAAAACAGTCAAACAATCAAAAATTTATAACAATTTTTCTAAATAACCAATTTGAAATTTCAAATGCGATTAAAAAAAATTGGGTTTTGAGAAAAAAAGAAACAATAACAAAATACCAGAAATTAAGAATCTGATATGTGGAAAAGTCATATATAAATTCATGAAATATTGGATAATGTCACTGACTAACTTTAAAACAATTCAAAGTTTGCCCTGGGGTAGGTATCTACTCCAGTTATTAGTTCCAGAGTTAATATTGTAAATGCGGAATTGATTTTATTTGTGGAAGTGCCTTTGAGTTTGAAATTGAAAAGGACATAACTTCAGCAAATTTACAACATTGCATAAGTAATTTTATTGTAGATTTCATGTTTTGATTTAATTTTATTGTTAAGAATACTATGTGTCAATTGACTTAATCAGAAATGTGGATTAATAAAATAGCTATATGATTAGCATTATTATAAAAAAAATGCCATAGCAACAATTTGCTTTCTCTTGCTATCCCTGGTCTATATATAATTTACTTATGATCTAGAGCACAGTGATTATGTCCTCAGAATAATATGACCAAATATACTACTTATTGCTGCCATATTTCAGGCCTCTGTCTATGTCGGAGAACCTCGCTAGATTGGCGCAAAAGATTGACTTTTCTAAAAGTGAAGATGAATACTGCAATATTAAAAAGGAAGGTGAAACCAGCGTGGAGGTAAAGTCAGATGAAGATAGTAAAGAAGCAGGCTATCAATCCAGTCAGTGGCCATGGGAGTCTGTGAGGAACAAGCTTCGGAATGCCCTTACGGAAGTGTGTGTGCTAGCTGACGTGCTTAGTATTGCTAAAGAGAAGAGATATATGGTGAGTCTGTTGTGATCAATAAATTCAAATGAAATAATCAGCAGTACACATGTGACTATATAATGTAATCATGTAAACAGTTTGGTACTAATTCTGAAAAAATTAGGTCTCATGACAGAGATGTGTCCCGTTTGTGTTTCCACCGTGAAGCAGTTGTGTTTGCATGGTTATGTTTCGGTTTGAAGGGTGAGATATGGCAGTGAATTTACAGCATACAGCGGAATAACACCTGAGGCCTCAGGAATGACAAAGCATGGGGAGGTATCACAGGTGAAACAGTATACTCTGTTATGTCCATGGTACTGCTCATGTCTATAGGCGACGGTTACCACTTTCCATCAAGTGGGCCATCAGCTTGTTTGCCATTATAAGTTGTATAAAAAAAAAGCCCAGTTTCATAGATCATCATCAAGTAGAGCATATATGCTTATATTTTTTGTATCAGCTTCTTACCTTGAGTATGAATTAGTTTTAAATATAATTAGTTAATCATTCACTGTACATCCTAAAGGTTTACTGTTACAGAATGCTGTTAGGGTTAAGTCCACCTTTTGTACCATATTTTATTTTGGTCAATAAAGTACTACACTTTTTTGGGTGTTTTTGAAATATTTTTAACTGAATTTAAAAACGTTTTCAGTTTGGGTTGTATTTTTTTATGTTTGTTACTTCATTATTTGAAAAGATATATGTACTTACAATTTGTAAATTTTATTAAAATTTATTTAGTAGTTTAGTTTAAAAAAAAATTACTGGGTCTGCCACAAATGAAAAATGATGTCCTTATAATATTCAAGGAACTATTATCTATTACCTAACTGGCTGTGTGGTCCCGGCATAACCACCTCTTACTTTCCCGTGGGTGTTGTAAGAGGCAACTAAGGAGGGCGTAGGATGGGCAGCAGCGTCCCTCTTATAGATGTTTTACATCTCTAAAGCCTCAATCTACCTGCCAAGCTTGGCAACTACGGGCAAAACCCTCCAAGGGGAAGGCTTATATTCAGCAGTGCTGAATACAAACAGTTATAGGCTAATATGATGACGATGACCTAACTGTTAAGGAGTTAAACTTTCCGTCCTCAGTTCATCTGAATATCTTAAGGGAGCTACTATAACTAAATGACTTTACATGCCTATAGTATTTAAAGAGTTATTCTTTAACTCCTAATGATTGAGGTGTTGTGCCTTTTATCATTATCTTAGCAACATGAGCCGATGACTACCAGATGCAATCACCTGAATAAGTTTTGAAAAAGTGTCAAACATCGTAAATGTGTCTATAAAATTTAAGGGTAGCTCTCGATTTCCATGGGATTCCATTATCACATCCTGACATGATGACAATGAGACCACCTCTAAAGTACACTCTTTTGAATATAACTAGAATTTTTAAATCAGTCCACAATTTATGGAGACATCGATGAACATACATTAAAAAAATATACAATCGAACATATAACCTTCTCTTTTTTTTGAAGTCGGTTAAAAATAGTTAAAAATTAGTTTAAAAATGTATCATCAACTACCAACAACCTTTACCTAGATAGGATAAGATAGGATTCATGTTTGGCTTTTAGTCAAACTAATTCGGGCTACAATATTGATTGATAGATTAACTGATGAAAGTGTTACTCTTATTACAATAATGTTGTATAGGTGTTAGACCCAGTTCAACCGGAGCAAGTTGAGAACCGTCCAATGGTACAAGTCTACGGTCGTAAGAAGGCTCTCGCCGCTGCTGCCGCCGTACTCATGGCTGGAGTGGACCGTCTCAGGGCCAGCGAGACCATGAGAACAGCCAGAAATATGCCAGACTTCCACATCGACTTGCTCAGATTACGTCAGAACTGGCGGCTAAAAAAAGGCTCCACCGGAATAGTCGGGGACCTCAGCTACCGCACCGCCGGCTCCAAGTTTAACCAGACCGGTGTCTTTGAGGTAATCGAATATTTAGTAAGTGCACAGTGGTACATAGCAGTACGTAGCTCATTGCACGTACATTGTTGTCATAAATGTTTTAATAATGCGCCTGAAAGACGGGAACCAGAGAAAAAAAAGGATAATCTTTTCAAACACGAGTACGACCTAAACGACGACGACACCACCGTATATTTCGATAGCCTCCTTATAACTATACCAGAGGGAGACTTTGTACCAAAGTAATTTGCTTATCTATATCTGTCCCATTTGTGTTTCAACCGTGAAGCAGTTGTGTTTGCATGGCTGTGTTTCGGTTTGAAGGATGGGATATAGCAGTGAATTTACAAGGTACAGAGGAAGAACACCTTAGTCTTCAGGAATGACAACGCACGGGGGAGTATCATGAGCGAAGCAGTATACACTGTTATGTCGGTGATGGTGTTCGTGGCTATAGGCGACGGCTAGCACCGGGCGTCGGGCGCGACAGTGTACTGACGGCGGCGGCGTGGCCGCAGGTGACGAAGGCGGCGGAGGAGGCGACGGCGGGCGCGGGCGCGGGCGGCGGCGCGGCGCTGCGCGTGGCCGTGCCGCCCGAGCTGCAGGGCGTCGCCTTCATCTCCGTGCTGTGCCAGAAAGGTATTGCTAGCGCGATTATCCCACTGATGAAATCGAAACGCAGGCGAAACCGAGTCCCTGCTGTAGCTCCAGGGGCTACGGCACTGACTTTGTTTCGCCTGCGATGTATGGTCTGAACTAGCGCCTATGTTATGTACGGTCCAATTAAATATCGTATACTGGTTTTCATTGCCGTCGCCGGTACGCGGGCACCAGTCGAACTAGTGTATTACGAATGTTGAGAAATTGCTAGGAGTTTTGTCCTGGGGACGTCGTACCGGCGGAAAATATGAGAGTAGCTTTGCAATCGGTAAGAGGTGGTGTGCGGCGCAGAGCAGGAGGAGGTGGCGACGGCGGCGGCGGGCGGCGCGGCGGAGGCCGAGCTGGCGCTGCACTGGCAGCAGCGGCTGGAGGCGGCGCAGAACGTGCTGTTCTGCAAGGAGCTGTTCGCGCGCCTCGCCGCCGAGGCCGTGCAGCTCGACGCCTCCATCCCGCACATGGTCGTCGGCAACCAGATCATGGCCACGGTACCGGTGTAGGGCTCCTCTGTACTGACCTACCATCTACTCTATCCGTCTACCAAATTTCGTTCTAATATATTCAACAATTTTTGCATGGAAGAGAAAGAACTCCATTAGTTCGCACAAATTTTAGTATTTATAATGGTAGTAGTATACCGCTGAAATCATCTCGCATGAAGCGAGCCAGCGACGTCTTATATCTTTTTTTTTTATATATACATTGACTTAAATGTAGTCAACGAGTAGATTTGTACCACTCTTCTAGCGGATACTGTCGATGGACGCAGTACTCGACGATGTGCATTTTCTCTGTTAACGTAATTTGTCCAAAAATTTACCGTTTTTCGCCGATATCGCTTTCAGGTGCTGCCTGGTATTCAGCTACTGATCGGGCTGTGTCACAACAACGGACAAAATAACTCCAATACTCACCCGGAAAGCGTCAAGGTTAGTCGTAATTTTTTCTCTAAAACTGTAAGCTAGAACTTGTATCAGGTTGATCTTGATAGATAGGTAGATAATTTATTTGCATTACTTACAGCACACAAACTATTTATAATCTCACGCCGCCGGCCGGGCCGGTACCGCCGCACCGCTATGTTTCTGCATTTTAAATCTGTAATGTCTTCGAAAATATTTAAATCACATGCTGTAAAGGGCCATATTGATCTTTATTCAATAGACAATGTATTTAAGGTACTTAATTGGATAAAAATTAATGCTGTATTCCTTAAAATCACTTCATAAATAAGCCATTTATTCTCGTAAAACGTAAAGGATAAAAAATGGGTATTGTGGGTTATCCTTAAGAGATAAGCATATATCATTGCGGCCTTTTTAGGGTACAATGTTGTAGTACATTATTTTGATGTATCTCGTGGGGTTCAGCCAGCGTTTGCAATGTAAATGCAAAAAATGTGCTTATTTACGACATCACATTAGAAACCTCTAAAGTTATCAGTGTTTCTCTACAATATTACGCATGTATTATACATATAAACCTTCCTCTTGAATCACTCTATCTTTTAAAAAAACCGCTTCAAAATCCTTTGCGTAGTTTTAAAGATTTAAGCATACATAGGGACGGACAGACAGCGACAGTGACTTTCTTTTATACTATGTAGTGATGATAAAAAAAGAATTTCATGTCGAAGTAGTATGAAATTATAAAATACTTAAATTTCTCCACTGCATGTAAATGGTCCTCATAACTGTACATTTCTCTATCACATTGTTGGTCGCGCTCACTCCGTCGGTTTTAGCGTAACGTTGCAACAGCGCGTTACAAAGTAAATATTAGCTGAAACTAATAAAACCACTAATATTGTATTGTATTGTATTGTAAAATCTTTATTATACATAATTCATACGGAATACATCAAAAGATTTAATATACAATGGCGGACTTATCCCATAAAGGGATCTCTTACAGTCAACCTTTGAGAAGCTGAAAGAAAACTGAATGTACAAGGGTAATAACTGTACAGCTAAAGATAAACTAAATAATACCCAGTAAAAAATTGAATATATAATAATAATAAAAACAGCTGTTTACACCTACATATGTAAATAATAAAAGTACATAAATAATAATATAACATTAATACATAAATAAATAATAATAAACCTACACACATAACAAATACATATTTCACAATAGGCTCAATGAAAAAGGAGCTTCAAAATAACATTTTATGATACCTGCTTTAAAGAATTTCAATGATTGTGCAATCTTTAAGTTATTAGGAAGTGAATTCCAGAGACGTGCAGCATGTACAGTAAATGACTTGGCATAGCTTTGAGTATTAAAACAAGGCAAATCTATAATGAAGTCATTACTGCATCTCAGGCGAACATCAATCTCGCGAAATTTGAACCTTCCTGAAGATAATTTGGACATGTTGGATCAAAAAGGATATTGAAAAGAAGAGTAAGACTGTGGACATTTCTCCGTATTATTTTGATATTAATAAAAAAATCTTTACGCGTCTGTTTATTTAGTTATCTTAAAAAAATATTTAATTTCAGCTAATTACCAACTAAAAAAAAAAAAAAAAAATTGATGGTGGTATCTGCAGTGCATTACAATAACTTGGCGTGTTTAAAAGTTCATCATCTTGTTTAGAACACTTTTCTTTGTTTACACTATTTACACTAAACAAATTGCTGCATTAATCCACCTTCTATTAATACAAATGTACGCACATTTACGTAGTTTCTTTACACTTTCAAATACGAGCCCATTTTACTCTTAATTCTGTTAAATGTGTGATTCGCTATTTTTTTATCCACATTTAAAATATCATGTCCGATTTCATCATTACTCAGTCTTTCGCATGACCGCATAAAAAAAAAGTCAAGCGGAGTTAAGAGTCATTGATTACCTTTATCCATCTCACACCATAGATCACATTTAAGTACAAAACTCGACGCGTGATGCATAATCATTTATCATGGTAGGCATGGAGGCCAACTTACGCGAACACTAAATCTTTCTTGAAATAATATCATTGCATGCACAGTGATATTAGCACATTACCGAAAACAAAGTACAATTTCTAGATAATCTTAGATGCACTGTTGTACACGAAAGATGGCTAGGTTCACGTGTTATTACGAAAACAAACGCACAACGCGTCGACGTCAGATACGTAACTATTCTGTACTTAAAAAAAAAATTCTGAGGTCCACGTGAACTGTGTCCTTGACGCGTTAATGAAATAACAGCGCGATCAATGACAGCGATAGACTGATTTGTCATTGGTAATAGGTAAGTGTCCTGCGATGATCAAAGATTGGATTAAACGCATTTTTTTTATTTTCTAGTCAATAGCGGCGTTTAAAGACTTCATTGTTATTTAGAGTTACTCAAATACTATTGCAGTAGTGACTAAAGCGGCAACGTCTCTTTTTTTACACAGGTGAAACATTTACATTTATTAAATTTTTTTTTTTTGTATGAAAAATTGTATGATATTGGAGACACGAATTCTATCATTATCGTAACATATATATGTAATACTACGTGGGACACTCAGAAAGTTTTGCGATACTAAAAAAATGTTCTATAGGTAAATATAGTTTTATTACATCTTTTCAAAGTACTCTCCAACAGCCTCTATACAAAGTTTCATGCCTCAGAATCAGTTTTCGAAATACTTTTTCCAGTCCGCCGCAGACACCTCGTTTTTCATTCACCAGCATGCTCGAACGCTAAGAGCGCACAATCCGGCGACGAAAATTGTATCCCTTTGAGCAGATTTTTTATTTTTGGGAATAAGAAGAAGTCACATGGTGCTAGATCAGGGCTGTAAAGTGGGTGACTCAGGAGTTTGACCGGTGTGCTGTCTAGAAAGTCCCTCGTTTTAATTGCAGTGTGGGCGGGCGCATTATTGTGGCGGAGCAGTAGCCCACGAAGCCCTGTGTTTGGTCGCTTGTTGCTTACTACAGAGAAAACTTCTGCCAAGCATTTGATAGTATACCATTCGGCAGTAATGCTTCTTTGGTTTCGTAAAGGAATTGACACCGAGTAGTCAGTCAAATTGAAAAAGCTCGCCATCAAAATCTTCCCACGCTTCTAGGTCGCTTTACTTTGGTAGGCGTTGATTCGTTTTAAACACCAAAACTGTTGACTGGCGCTTTGTTTCTGGATCGTATTGATACAAGTAAATCCAGGATTTATCACCTGTAACGATCTCGTAAACACGCCGAGACGAGCCTGCTTCAAATTTGTCTATCATAACATGGCACCATTCCACCATTGCAAGCTTCTGAATATCGGTGAGGTTGTGCGGCACCTAGCGTGAAACTATCCTCCGCACCCGTAGAATGTCGTGAAGGCTTTCTGATCCAATCTGCAGTATATGCTGACTCTCTTGGTATGTAACTAGTCTATTGTCTTGGATCAAATTTTTCACTGCTAGCACGTTTTTTCCGTAACAGCCGTCAAAGGGGGACCACTTCTTTCTTCATCTCCCAAAGTCAGTCGACCGCACCTTAATTCATTACACCAACGATACACGGGTACCTTAGAAGGGCCTTCATGCATGAATGCCATTTGAAGTCTATCGTAAGATTCGTCCGGTTTCAGACGACATTTAAAATCGTAAAAAATCATAGCGCGAAAATATTCTCGTCGCAAATCCATTTTTCAATGAGACACGGTAATTTTAATTAGCTCGTAAAAAATGTGGAGGGAAATTTTGAATTTAGAACGTACTTATTTTTACTTATAAGTAATTATATTTTTAAATAAATTATTACTGGCCAGTTTCACATACATAAAAACTTTTTTTCGCAATACTTTCTGAGTGACCTGGTATATCCCCTTAAAGGGAATTCAATAATAACAATTATTGAACCTAAAAAAAAGCTAAACGCACCCTTGTATTAAAAATATTCAATTACGATGAAAAAAAAATATAACCGTTTTTTAGGTTTAGTAATTGTTATTTTTTGCAAAGGAAGGTTTTTGAAATTTTGGTTTCCTACTCGCCGATTTTACTTGGTCGTCTACTGATGTGTTGAGTTGTCGTGCGGCTGTGCAGGCGGAGGGCGCGGCGGGCGGCAAGTCCGAGCACGACCACGTGCTGGAGCATTCGCTGCACCAGCTGCTGCGCGCCGTGCACCACGCCAACACGCACCACCCCTTCCCGCACCCCGCCACCGGCCCGCTCGGGCCCTCCAAGCGGCGCTGCGTCGCAGGTACGCACTCGCTGCACACTACACTCGCTGCACACTACACTCGCTGCACACTACACTCGCTGCACACTACACTCGCTGCACACTACACTCGCTGCACACTACACTCGCTGCACACTACACTCGCTGCACACTACACTCGCTGCACACTACACTCGCTGCACCAGCTGCTGCGCGCCGTGCACCACGCCAACACGCACCACCCCTTCCCGCACCCCGCCACCGGCCCGCTCGGGCCCTCCAAGCGGCGCTGCGTCGCAGGTACGCACTCGCTGCACACTCGCTGCACACTACACTCGCTGCACACTGCACACTACACTCGCTGCACACTACACTCGCTGCACACTACACTCGCTGCACACTACACTCGCTGCACACTACACTGCACCAGCTGCTGCGCTGCACACTCCCGCACCCCGCCACAAGCGGCGCTGCGTCGCAGGTACGCACTCGCTCGCTGCACACTACACTCGCTGCACACTACACTCGCTGCACACTACACTCGCTGCACACTACACTCGCTGCACACTACACTCGCTGCACACTACACTCGCTGCACACTACACTCGCTGCACACTACACTCGCTGCACACTACACTCGCTGCACACTACACTCGCTGCACACTACACTCGCTGCACACTACACTCGCTGCACACTACACTCGCTGCACACTACACTCGCTGCACACTACAATCGCTGCACACTACACTCGCTGCACCAGCTGCTGCGCGCCGTGCACCACGCCAACACGCACCACCCCTTTCCGCAACATTATTTAGGCAAAGTAATTTGTCTACCACTTAGCCACGGAGGACTTCTATAACTTGGTAAATTTTTTAACATAAAATCTCTTGTACCGTTTCCACGCAAATTGTTATAATAAATACTTATGACTAAAAAATATTATACGAGTATTAAAAGTACATAGAAGTGACAGTCTATATATATACATATTATTTGTAAATGCTGCAATGTCACTGGAATATTTTTCCCCTGATACCCTAGGAAACAGGAACCGTGGAATTCGACATTTCGCCTCGAAATACGTTGTGAAGTTTTAGTGGGTAAAAATCCCACACACTCCTTCTGCCCTCCCTCTGGAAGTTAGAAGAGTCTTTCTAATAATTTCCTCACATAAAAATAGGGTATATAGATGCCCCAAGTTAAGAAGGCTGTCAAAAATTTTTCAGCATGTAGCAAATAATTGTACAATATGATACTACACTCGACTAAATGTTACTGATTTGATTTAGTCTTCAATATATTTGATGCGATGTTCTTGAATAGAAAAAAAAATCCAATTGAAACTGTTCGTTTTAGGTCCGATGGCGGCTGATCGGTACGAGTTGTTAGAAATGAGCAAGGAACAGTCGCTGCTGGAGCAAATCATACAGCAAGCGCAGCATTTTTTTATGCGCAGGCGCAGCGAATACGTCCTCGATACCATCGCTAAGGAGGTTCGTTTCACCACTCTTTGTTATCTTTTCACTTTTAGTCTTTATGTTCTAGTCGGGTTTTCAACACGATTCAAACTTTCGAACGATGTCGCAGGAGTCGAGCGGCTCGATACAATGTTTGTTGTGTTTCGACAGGTGAAAGACCCGCTGATCGTGTCTCACTGGAACGCCCTCAATAGCCCGACACAATCGTGCGTTAAAATCAACATTATGGCTTACGGGTATGTGCGATGTTATGTATATATATAGAAGCTACGTTTTTATAAATATTAATACCGAGAAAGGTGCGTTTGAATCCCTTCAGATAGAGCTACCTGAAAGGAAACATTTTTACATCTGTACTTGTTAGGGTGCTGGAATGTACTGTAATGTAGTGTGGTTATTTGTATATAACGATAGCGTGGCCGCAGGTACGACGCGGTGTGCCGCACGTCGCTGGTGGTGCACGTGGGCGAGAAGACGCTCAAGTGCATCTGCCGCGACGGCAGGGTGCGCCACCTGTCCTACGAGCTGCAGGAGCTGCGCGACCTCATCTACTGCCAGGTGCGCACAACAGTGACCCCACAACAACTGTACGATCGACGCTGAAACACGACTAGGGCAGAAACTCCGATATGATGTTGGCATTCGTTAGATGACCTGTCGTTTATTACTATTGTAAAGCCTATTTTACTATTAAGTGCTAGCTTTTTGTTGACAGACTGATCTTAGATCTATAACATATTTCCCAATCCTACAATATGTATAACCCGTTTTTCCTATAGTTTGCACAATTCCAAGCACAGATTAATGAACGTGGGCACGTGTTCGCCAGATATACCAGCACCAGATGACGGCGGTGCAGGCGGTGGGCCGCTGCATGGGCTGGCAGCTGCTGGCCAGCAGCTCGCATCTGGGCTCGGGGCCCGTCGAGCCGCTGGGCAACGCGTCATCGTGCCTTCTCGCCTCGCCTAACGGTACGTGTTTTAGTGTTGCGAGTCGTATCATTACGACTATATTACTACTTTCTTTAATGTCAGGGCTCTAATTCAGCTTGCAAGATGATTAGACAATACAATGTGCAACACTCAACATTGTAATATTTCAAAAATGGCGGATCATGTATTCTTTTCAACCCCTTAAGTAAAAGAAGCAGTAGAAAATGGAGTTGTGAATATAACACTAAATTCAATATGTGTAAATATTGAAGAAACTAGTATATTTATTACTGTTAACATAACTGACAGTTCATAAATTATCCTATTGTTCATAGTTGTATAATGGCAGTGACAGTTATTTTCAATATTTAATTCAGAGGGAGACTGTACAAAAGTCGCTTGCCGGTGCATCTCTGTCCCATTCGTGTTCTACCGTGAAGCAGCATATGGCAGTGAATTTACAGGGTACAGAGAAATAACAACGTATGGGAGGCGTCATGGGCGCAACAGTATACTCCGTTATGTCCATGGTACTTGGTCATGTTTATAGGCAACGGTTACCACTTTCCATCAGACGGCCCACGTCAGCTTGTTTGCCATTCTAAGTTGCATAAAAAAAATTTGCCAGAATAAAAAAAATTTGCTGAATTATAAATTATGTTGAGGGAAGACAGAAGCTAGATTTGAAGATAAGAGGTACTTGGAAGTATAATTTGCATCTAAAATCCCCTAGTGGGCTATCCCCGTCTATAATCACATGTATGACATTTTTGTTCATCGCAGGTGACAGAATGATAGCAATCAGATGTGAACCGTCGGTCGGGATCCAAGTGTTTATTGCACAATCACCAAGGAAGGATTTCTTCGCAAGTGAGCTGGTGCAAGATAAAAAGTGGGAGAACCTCGGTGGAGCATTCAAAGAGATCAAACTTGAAAAAATGGAAGGCAAAAACTTCCTAAACAAGATGGAGCTTCTGATGGCGTGCCTCAGTAGTCCATCATAGATAATTACTAGCTATAATTAATGTTAAGTTGTCCTTTTATATGAACGAATACAATAAAACACTGAATATTTATAGAGACATCTTTTATTTATAATTATGTAACTTAGAAGTACGGCCATAGGTAAAATGTTAAATGATCACTGAAGGTTGTTCTTGAATTTCTCTCGACGAATGAGAAGTCTCGAGAGGATTAGTCCAAGGAACTGAAACAATATTTACAACTATAAAAACACATTCACAGCAGCATACTACAGCAAATATGGGATATAGTGTCTGTAACATTATAAGAAGCAGACACGGCGCAACACATATGACAAACAAAATAGAGGCCCGTGTGGCAGTTCACATTCTATAGCCATTACTTCAATGTGCACAAATGTTATTTGTACCCGTTATAGTGATTGATAAGAGAACATGTGCATTAGCTCACAAGTCTCCTCAAATTAGAACACATGTAATAAGTCTGATGATTGTATATCATATATACCAACAATACTACTAGATATAGAAAGACGAGAAAGACTGCTCTATATTGCCAGTTATGTCTGTGCTATACTTGCTTGCATTACTTTTAAAATGTCAAATAAGCTGATAGTGCCCTGTACAAGTGACAGTTGTATGATAATGGGACCCTTCATATGTAGGTACTTTATGTTAAAATATATCCGCACAGTTCTACTAATTAAAGCACAAAACATAACGGCAATATTATGTATACACATAATTCCATAAGCATATACACTATTTAGTTAAAAAAAACTTATGTGAATTATATAAATACAATCTATATCGATCGAGTATATGCCATACTCAAAGATTTACACTGACAACTTAATATACAAAATTAACAACAAGTTACTCACATTTATACATAAAATACTGACTTACCTCTTACAAAACTTGCATACTCGAATATATATACTACTTATAATTTTTATTTTGGTAGGTACTCTATTTTCTCTAAATTCCTATTCAAATTTCTATTATGACGTCACCAACTCAAAGCTAACCATTGTTACCTGTGCCTTATCGTAATTATAAATTTTAAGCAAATAGAGAAAACCGAATGCTCTTATTCTTTCTCTTGCTCCATCCACTTTCATGACTCATCTCATACATACCCATATACGTCAGTTCTGGACATTCTAAATTTTATATATATATATATATATATTATAATGGAACGGTGCACCCACTAATGCTATAACAATAGCGGGGCACTAGTAGAGGACGAAACATTTATGAAGAAGTCACACCACTTACGCCCTCATGGAAAAAAAAAACTAGGATTAGATCACGATAGTTTCCAAGGGTGGAGGGATGTGGAGGTGGGCCTGTTAGGTAACATTAGCAATCAGGGGCCTATTGTTACTCGTAACAATTCTTTCACTAATAGGTTTGATATGTTGTAAAAGGTTAAAGTCCGCCATATGCGGTAGAAGTACAATATGCGAATACCGGCCATCACGCCGCGCCATTTTTATCCCACAAGTTGGATTTTCGTGTACAATAGTAGAGGTAAAGAGCCAGACCAGCCTGGAGCACCGTTCCTGATGCAGTCACAACATTAGTTCATCTGTCACCCTTTAACACCTACACCTAAGAAGAAAAACTGTGCCAAACACTAGAATCTACTATATCCAGACTACTCTAAACACAACACAAGCTAACACAAGAAAATATCACTAAATGATCTCTTGGAGTGGTTCCTATTTTATGATTATAAAACAAAATTCACATTCTTTACACATCAATTTTTGACCCAACTTAAACTCAATGAATCCTTATTCACTCAGAGAAAGGATGACTTAAGAATTTCTACATAAAATATTTATAGGTATACAAAAAGAAGTGAATAGCTTTTAATATAATTTATACTATTAAGTAGTGAAGTAACACAACTGACTCATAAATTTAGTCACATTTGTCTATCTAGGACCTGTGTAATCTAATATAGGAACACATTTACACCATTGCTGAGATCAGCCTTGGAAGTACAGGTGAAACTAGTGGTGAACTGGACAGATATAAATGGGACTGGTTCAAACTGGCAGAGAGCAGGAAATTTTAGAAAGAAATAGGAGAGACCTTCGCCCAACAGGAGGACAACATTAGTTAATGATAGACATCAAATAAGGTAGGAATCCATCCCCTAAAAGACTTGCCTTTAGGGGTACGAAGAGTAAAGGAAGGAAGTGCCTAGATACAACTGTCGCTTCATTCACTTGTATGACTCATCAAATACACACATTAACACATGCCAGTATATTTATCTTAATTACTATTTCTTCACTCACATTCTATGGAATAAACCTTGATTTTATAACTTATTTATCAGTCTTCTCATTCAATAATGAATAGGAACGATAAACCTAGTACTAGTCTGGTCCTCAACTTAGATAACAAACATCTAGAAGTACAACCAGGACACTAGGTTCCACATGAGCTAATATAGAAGTTTGTTTCCTAAATTGAATCCAATAATGAGTAATAGCTATAAATTTTATGGCATGCATCATAAATTAATCAGTGATTAATAATGTTGCTTGCTCTAAGAAACATATGCTTGTAACAGACATTTTTAAAATTATCAGTCCAGACAAGTCTGTTCATGACTGATAGACCATTGGAAGCCTTTGTTACAACACATTATAACTTGTTCATTTAAAACATAGTGAGTTCATTAAAATTCCATTTATACATATGAACAACATTATAATTTATATGTTCGACATTAGATTCAAAGTTCAAATCATAGATGGTAAATAATATATCTTAAAATTTAAATTATAGGCAGGTACAATAATTTAAATTATTTGTTGGTATATACATACCAACCCATAATTTAATATCTTAAAATTATATATTTACTTAGTATTTAGGCGTCATGTATGTACCTTCATATCCTTGGGATACCAATAGAACTCTTCCCAGCATAAAACCCCCTAGTATTAGCAAACATTGAATTTTAACACTTGGAAGGCTTCAGATTACGATAACACTAGTACCTAACTTAACATCTAAAACTAAATTAAAACCGAGACAAAGGCGACCTAGATCTGAAGTTGCCACCTCCTCCGCCACCTGAGCCGTAGCCGTTACCCTGACCGTTGCGGTTGAACGAGGGTCGGCCGCCACCATATGAGTTGCCAAATGACCTGCTGTTGCCCCCGGGCGGGCCGCCGAACGAACGACCGCCTCTGAAGTTACCGCGCCCGCCCCTGAAGTTGCCTCCGTTCCTACGTGGACCATCCCTTTTCCTCGACAACTCTACTTTTAACGTCGCGCCTAACATTTCGAATCCATTCATCGCGCTACACGCATCCTCTGCCTCCTGACTGTTTTCAAATTCTATGAACGCAAAACCAGGGGGATTGAGTGCTACCCAAACAGAGTTCAGTTTGCCATATTTGTCAAATTCCCTCTCGAGATCTTCTTTTTTGATGCCTTCCACGAGTCCACCGACATATACACGGGTTCCACCTGAGCTCATGTTGGTATTTTCTGAAAAATAAAGATGCATGTTCAGTGCTTACAAAAAATGAAGCAAATTACAAAAACAACGTGTTCACAACAATCTATATTCAACTGATCATAAAATGTAAATTAATACAAACATTTAAAATGTAGCAATATTCGTTATTGTAACACATATACTACAAATTGTAAAATAAAACTTATAATAATTATTCTACGAATAAAACAAGATGTCGTCTAAATGCCACGCCAACACAGAATACGATTTCTGTCGTAATCTTAGTACTATACTCACGTTTGTAAAGTGTTGAAGTATATTCTTTTAATTCTACACAAATATAAATTATTTTAAATTAATACAGCGTGTTTATTAATTTTAAATAAAAATTATCAAATGAGCTAAAATGAATCGATGAAACATGAGCGAATGAAGGGTTTACCGGTTAAACTGACTTGACGAATGCTTGAACGAATGAACGAATGATATCATGTTTACAAGAGTGTTGCAAGTCTAAAATAATACATATAATAAACAATTACACAAAAAAAAAATAACTAATATTATAGTTTTAATAAAAGTGTATAAATTATCAAGTATTACAATATTCAGATATATATTAATAAATTTATTTAATTTAGAACAATATATTTGTAGGTAACTTTTAACTAATAAGTTGACATTAGATGAATGAAAACATGAATGAAAATAGATGGAATTGAACTAGTGTGCTATAGATACTGTGTTATGTGTATATGTGTGCAAGTTCTGCGAAAGAGGAAGGGAGGAGGCTTTTGATTTGTTTGAAGGTAGTGAGTGAGTGAGTGAGGACAATGGCCAAGAGGGAGGAGGGCGAACGCTGACTCCGATCCGAACTAAACCGGCCAAACGACTTTATGCAACGGTCGCGCAACAGTTCGCGTTTAAGATTGTTTATAAGCCCCACCTTTGTTTCGTTACTGAAGCGCTTTTGTTTCATTTTAATATTAAAATTAATGTTCTTTACTAGTTATCGTCAAATGATTAGACGTCGAATATCTAGTCATAAAGAAACAAGTGTGGACAATGTTTGGATAGGTGTCGAAATACACAGGTCGCGAGCAGGTGAGGAGCGGTACTAAACGTGAAATGATTTTATTTGTGATTAGTTAGTGAAAATGAAATGTTGTAAGGACATGGAGCTGCAGAAGAGACATAGCCAGTTCAGTGATACTAAATATAAATGGAGGACGGCCGTGGTGACGTTGTTGTTGTGTATGTGTGGGTGTGACGGCCAGGAGTCCCCGGGTGCAGGGAACACAGACCCGTACATGCTGAACGAGTCGTCAGGGTTGACGGAGCAGGCGGGCGGCGTGATCGCAGGCGGTCGCACCGTGTGGAAGGTGGATGGCAGCCCGTATCTCCTTCGGGATGACTTGCTTGTGGAGAGAGACGCGGAGTTGGTGATAGAGCCGGGTGTGGAGGTCCGGTTTGCGCCAATGGTCGGCCTCACTGTCCGGGGAAGGCTCGTTGCTGTGGTATGGATATTAATCTTTATGATATCAGATAAAGCGATTATTTTTGTTTTTTTAAACTTTTCATTATATTGGTACCAATTTGGGTATATCTATAGATCTATAAATAAATATAAATAAAGTATAGCTAGAATTAAACGCACAAAATATAATTGTCTGTCCTATTGTTTAATAAATAAATATTTTAAATACCAATTTTGATACCTAAATAGACATGTTAAGATTGTTTACTAAATATTTGTATGCCTAGTATAAAGTAATAGATGGATAGTAAGTAGTATAGTAAGTTTATTGGCCTGCGCAGACGACGGACTTTTTGTCTGCGAACAAAGCTCATCTTCCTAATTCGGGAATTAACCACGATGATTTCCTAGAGGAGTTGCGTGGAGGTCAACCAGGCAAGACATCGCAAGCAATAACACCATCCCCAAAAAATAACTCATAAAATACCCAATCGATCGACCTCCGTGGGATCCCCGCCCCCTGGAAATCGTCGTGGTTAATTAATGTATGTAGTTTTATGCTTCTCCATACTCAGTAATTTTACTTCCATATCTTATTCTTCAAAATGAACAGAAGCACAGTCGTACAAATAAATCGATAACCAACACGTCAGTGAGAAAGATGGAATGGAAGTCTTTTGGTGGTGAAAGTGAGCCTGGGTACTGAAAGCCTATTAGACAATAGTCGAGTATAGAGTCAGGACTGTATACTTCTAGGAAGCGTACCCTAATCAGAAGTGAGGCGGCGTGCGCCGGGCCACAGGTAACAAAAACACTCGATAAGTTGCACGGCACCGAGATAGCTGTAGAGATAGGCAGCTCTAGGTGCCTGATAACGTATCGCACCCATTCACTTGCGATATTGATTTATTCACCTGCTAAAGTGCTGGCAAATATTTAATGTAAATACCACCTCGCACAATGCACAACATCGATCGATGCGGCTGAATTGAACGGGGTTAAATTGGCAAACTACATAAATAATATATGTTTATTTTGAGATAAAATAAATACATATAAAATAAAATAAGGGTTTATAAAGCTCATTTTATAATAGATATTATGGCAATCAAATATCTGTTGCAACTTAGTGAGTACCATGCGAGAGATGACCGTACCACCACCATGTGATCTTTCTCTGCTAGTCGTACGATGAAGCTGCATGCTGGCCTAGCTGCGCACCAGTATATGAATCATGTCGTGAACGTAAGGCTCGTGGGCAGTCGAGCACGTGTTAATGAACGCAGCTGGAGCACAAAGGGCGCCGGCCGACCCCGCCGACCCGTCTTTCCCTAATTCAATCGACTTGAATCGCACCGCGACATCTGCGGCCGTGACCCCGCACACAGCTGATTAATGACACGCTGTATTAACATATCAACATTTACTAGATTGTATCTAAAATAGGTTGCAGGCTGTGCTAATTATACATTTACAAGTGCTGATGACAAGGCCTCCATATTTAACGGACACGTAGTAGTTAATTGAATAAGTATTTCAATTAGTAAATGTAATGATCTCGTTTACTGTGATTTGAGATTTTATTTCTAAAAAAAAAGTACTTAAATTATGAATAAATTACTGTTGTACTAACGCGGGAGTAAACTTAGAGACAGTTGTAAATTGTGTGAGGATGTGTCGCAACAAATTTTAACAATACAAGCGAATATAAAGACTTCTTAATTAAATCTGTAGATAAAATCAACCAACATGAAACCGTCTGGTGCTGACTTCTTTGTTTCACATTAACTACTATTAACTCTAGAGTTACCTCTAAACCTTACCAACAATTATAATAAATTTATGTACGTATGTAATATCTCCGCTCGTCCAATAATGCCAATACATTTTGTATTTCATTCGTATTTATAATAGTCATTGTTAATGTACAATATTGTGGGGAAAATTACGCGCGTTTAATTGTAAAACAGCATCTTGTATTTTCTTTGAGCAAAATGCAATGAGCATGAAAATCATCCCACGCTGTATTGTATACACTACCATTGAATAGGTATTGCAAAAAACTAAGCAATGGCAACCATAAGCAGTTACGATACGAATAAAAATTTAAGTGATATTGATTTTCTTGGGGTTTTTAAAGTTGTTCATATCAAAAACGGTATAAGCATATGATCATCACATCTGAAAATCGCCCCGTCGAAACAAGTAAGACTTTTCATTCTCACCTATCATATTTTATTGGCGCCCCTCAGCGTATACTGTTAGCGCAGGTGGGGTTACTATTATTATCATCCATTCAGAAAAAAAAAACATCACCAACCGGAAATGCATTCAGGTCAACTTTTGATAAGCGATTTGGTAAGGTGAATTGGTCGCGTTGGGGTTTACAGGAATGGGTGGTTATAATATAGCACAATTTGGGCTGTCGTGTCGTATAAAATGTTCTCACTGTTACTACTATTAGTATGAGGCCGCCGTTCTGCGTTATTAAGAGTTTTAGATTCCTTACTAAAAGAATTTAAAGTTTTAATTATAAAACAAGGTTTTCAATTAGTCTGTATTTTGAATTGTTCTTAAATTTTGATTTATTGTAATTTTATCCTACTGCCAGAATGCCATTCGGTGAATCTATAGCTACAGAATTACCTTCATCTTGTATGGCTCCAATATTTTATTGACGTATTTAATAAAACCGTATTCTTATTTAAGTGCCCGTACTAAAATAAAGTTAAATGTTTAAATAAGTATCTGTAAAATTTGTGATTGAGACGGGAAACCGCAACCACATTCAGCGTAAACTTTACAGAATTCGTCAAACTACGAGTATATAGTGCGAGCGATGTCATTCGTTGCCTGTTTAATCATAGATAAAGGATATTATTTTACCACATAAGTATATTATATTGAGCTCACAAAGCTGCCTGACCACACCGCCCGTTGCATAGGCATTCCAGAACTAATACAACAACATTGAGCGTAATTATGTGAAGATTAGATGAAACATAAAAATTTATATAAAGCAAAAAATTCTATAAAATTACATGAAATAATTGAAATGCAATGTAATCAGGACCACTTAAGACACCAAACCGTGTCAAGATCTGTAAACATAGATAACTAGACGCGTATGGCATTTACGTTGATAAGGGCTCTCCTATCTACGAGTTTAAGGTACTTATGTATTATTTTTCTTTATGCAACTTGGGATGGTACACAAGCAGACGGCCCAGCTGATGGACATCACATAATGCACTGTAACACCTATGGTATGTACGTCTCCCACGTTATTTTTCTTGTGGTATTGCATCACGCTTTATCCAGTTCATTTTATATATAAGACTGAAGCTATTAGTTACTGCAATGTGTAATATATTTTAAACCAATTAGAATAATTTCTATTTTAATATCTTTCATAGTCAGATAAGACCTAATCAGATTTTCGAAAGGCGTTTAAACACCGTAAGGTAGTCGATCGATCGACCAGCCTGCATCCTCTTCTTGAATCTTATTACCAATCTTGCATCTGCTTTCGTTTAATGTACCATTCTTGTCGATATAGTTTAATCAACTGTTAATAAACTCTTGAAATATCTATTTGTACGTGAAAGATCGGCTTATGTTATCCCTTTGCGTTTTGAAAAGAGAGTGAGCTGCAGGTCGGTACGAACTGTTATCACTGTAAGCGTGATCAGTTTTACAGTTATTTGGACAGGTAGTACACAACACGCCACACCACACAGCACGGTTAATGGCCACGGTCGAGTGGAGCACAGTGTGCTGGCCCAGCTAGGTTACATAACCTTGGCTCTCATTGTTACCGTTTGTCTGAGTCACAGAAATTAGCGATGCTCAATCACATTACTGTAATAACGGACGTTATGTTCTGAGAAACTACTGTTTAATTCGTAGAATCCTTCGTTTGTATGTTTTTTGTTGTCATCTATGTGTAACGATTTGGAACGGTTTGACCCATATTAGTTCGTCTTTATCGAAATATATATTTAAAAAATGTATTATTGATCGTAATGATTTCTTATTTATATTAATTACGTTTATTACTCTATATTTTGAAAGTATTTATTGCTGTCTTCGCGTTAGCCTGGAGGATCTTTTACCACCCCGCCCGACAGTCCTGTCGGTGAGTGTTGCGCAATGTCGTCGCCGGTACCGTATCCAGTCTCTGGTTTTGTTTGTGCCTGTCTTAAGCCTGACGACAGTCGCAAAGAATTAATTAAAGACTACTGAAGCAAGCCCGTTAATTTCTTCAACTTAGTGAATCTATAATTCGTGTATTCACTAACTGGCTATCTTGGCGACATATCACCCACGCGACGTGTACCGTGTGCCTTGTGGTCAACAGCCCGAATGAGTCAGCAGGTGATGATTCATCCGAAGGTGAAAGATGGAACGATGTCGTTTGGCCCGGCGCAGGCGCAAGCGCACACAGCTCCATATCTCTGCACCGCAGCGCGCGGTGCACAGTGCACGTTGCACGCGCAGGACTGCCGTTATAACTTACTCTTATTGCTACTCGGCTCGACACTGACTCTGTAATGCTACACCAAACGTTACTATACTTTATTAGTATAAATTCTAGCTATGTAATTTTATTCTTTTTGGTATCGAGTTCATACAGTATGCATAAGAAATATTACGCAAAATTGTGTTAACAGTATTGCGCATAAGTTTAATTACATAAATAACAATTTACTTTCCCACGGCGATCCATTCATTAGCCCATGTGCCTATGATCGTACATATGCTAGTAATAATCAAGTGAATCATGCATTAGCTGTAAATAATTTAATTTCACACTTTACCCCCGACGACTACCCACCTACGTACAACTGGATAAAACCTTGACCAACTTAAAACACTCAACCACAGCTACGGAAACCTGATTTCGCCTGTTCAAGACATTCTTGGCCGGATTTTATATTTATTGGTACAGCCGCCTCAATCGCTTGACAGGCGTTTCATTATAGTTCCTTCACCGTGTTACGACAAAATAATCCTTTCATCGTCTATAATGTTGGCTAC